TTTTATTGCCCAATCACTTAGTTTTGTGAGATCTTTTTGAAGTTCTTCACAGTCTGCTTTGGTCTTAACTATCTTTAGCAGTTTAGTATCATCTGCTAACTCATCTCATTAGCATGTAAGTACATTTTGTGCTAATGTTTAATATGTGAGTTAAAGGCCTGATATAAATCCCACTGAAGTCAATGGGATTCTTTCCAATGACTTCAGTGGGCTTTGGATTGATGCCTTGAGAAATAAAAGTAAAGTGAGTGTGTGTTGGGTGCGGAGAGTATTGTGTATTTGGGGGAAGCCACAAAGGGATATGGTAATGGAATATTTGGCATTAAAACAATTGTGAGCATAGAATAACAAGGGAGGTGCTAATGGACAGGAGGAGCCAATAGGGACCTGTTACGTGTAGGGTGACCATACGTCCTGTTTTGGCCGGGACAGTCCCTTTTTTAAGCCCTGTCCTGGCTATCCCAACTTTTTTCCAAAGGGAGGCATTTGTCCCATTTGCTCTTGCTGACTTGATCAGTTGGCAAGAGCAAACAGGACAAATGCCCACTTTTGTCAAAAAGTGGGGTATGGTGTGGATGGGACAAGCAGAGATGCCACCTTGGGGGGTGGGATAGCTTAGTGGTTTGAGCATTGGCCTGCTAAACCCAGGGTTGTGAGTTCAATCCTGGAGGAGGCCATTTAGGGATCTGGGGCAAAATCAGTACTTGGTCCTGCTAGTGAAGGCAGGGGGCTGGACTCAATGATCTTTCAAGGTCCCTTCCAGTTCTAGGAGATAGGATATCTTTATTTATTTAATTTAACCCCATTGTAGGGGGGAGACAGGGCTGGGGGAGTTTCAGCATGTTCCAGCTTGCGGGGGGGGGGGGGGAGCACAGGGTTCCAGCAACCAGGCAACAGCCTCCTGAGGGGGCCCCCCCTCATAGTTCCAGTGACTAGGCAATAGCCTCAGGGGTGGGGGAGGGGCAGGGTTTCAGTGATGGGCAACAGCATCGAGGGGTATCCCGTTTTCTGTTTGGGAAATATGGTTACCCTAGTTACATGATCTATTTCATAGTTGGGTATGACGGGCTGTACTACTCATCTGGAGTCTGGGAACTTTGAGACTGGGATAAGGGTAACTCCTATAGAGAATGCTTTGGAATGTTTTATTTTGGAGTTGGAGTTGCTTGGTTTCCTTAGGGAAGAAGGGCCACTCGCCCACAGAAGACTTTCCTGGAGCAAGGATGTCTTATAGTATCTTCCAGGATAGGGAGAATAAGTCTAGGTTGCTTCTCCTTATCATTAGGATTAAAGATGCAGGTTCTGTTTTCTATTGTGTGAGGGTAAGTAGCATTAAAATCTTTCCAATAGCTACAGCTGATTATTGTATATAAAGTAAGAGGTGTGAGAACACATTTTTCAGGTACAGTCAGTAACATGGCACTGTGCTCACCAATGCCAAGAAGACAACAATGTGGAGTGGAGCTGGTGGAATTTAGAGCTTATGCAGAAGGTTGTCCAGGTCAGGGAATTTTTGGCAAAGAATCTTATAAATATAGGGCTGGAGGGCACCTGGAGAGGTCATTAAGTTCATCCCCTTGAGCTAAGTCAGGATTAAATAAACCTAAACCATCCCTGACAGAAGTTTGTCTCACCTGTTCTTAAAAACCTCCAATGACAGAGATTCCACCACTTCTCTGTGAAGCCTATTCCAATATTTAATTATTTTTATAGTTAGAAATTTTTTCCTAATATCTAACCTAACTCTCCCTTGGTGCAGATTAAGCCCATTACTTCTTGTCCTACCTTCAGTGGACATGGAGAACAATTGATCACTGTCCTCTTGATAACAACCTTAATATATTTTAAGACTAATCAATTCCCCTCTCATTCTTCTGTTCACTTGACTAAACATGCCTAGTTTTTTAACCTTTCCTCATAGGTCAGGTTTTCTAAATCTTTTATCATTTTTGTTGCTTTCCTCTGGACTCTCTCCAATTGATCCACATCTCTCTTAAAGTGTGACGCCCAACACTGGACATTCCAGCTTTGGCCGAGTGCTAAGTAGAGTGGGGCAATTACCTCTCACGTCTTCCATACAACACTCCTGTTAGTGCACCCCAGAATTATATTAGCCTTTGTTGCAACTGCATCACATTGTTGACTTATATGCAATTTGTGATCCACTATAATCCCCAGATCCTTTTCTGCAGTATTACTGCCCAACTAGTTATTCCCCATCTCATAGTCGTGCATTGATTTTTCCTTCCTACGTGCACTACTTTGCACTTGTCTTTATCAAATTTCATCTTGTTGATTTCAGACCAATTCTCCAATTTATCAAGCTCATTTTGAATTCTAATCCTGTCCTTCAAAGTGCTTGTAACCCCTCCGATCTTGGTGTCATCTGCAAATTTTATAAGAATACTCTCTACTACCTTATCCAAGTCATTTATGAAAATATTGAATAATACCAGACCTACAACAGACCCCTTCTTCACCCCACAGTCGGACTGTGTCAAAAGCCTTACTAAAAATCAAGATACTATTTATCATGTTTACTGCTTCCCCCATCCACTAGGCCAGTAACCCTGCCAAAGAAGCAAATTAATTTCGTTTGGCATGATTTGTTCTTAAGTAATAGCCAACATGGATTTGTCATCACCCTATTATTCTCTAGGTGCTTACAGATTAACTGTTTAATAATTTATCCCAGTATCTTTCTAGGTATCAAAGTTAGACTGACTGGTTTATAATGCACCAGGTCCTCTTTGTTCTCCTTTTTAAAGATAGGCAAACATAGTACCTTTCTCCAGTCTTCTGGGATCTCACCTGTCCTCCATGAATTTTCAGAGATAATCTCTAATGGTTCCAAAACTGATTCTGCTAATTCCTTTAGTACCCTAGGATGAAATCCATCAAGCTTTGCTGACTTGAATCCATGTAATTAATCTAAATATTCTTTAACCTGTTCTTTCCCTACTTTGGCTTATGTTCCTTCCACTTTGTTGTTAATATGAATTGTGTGTCACCATTAACCTATTTAGTGAAGACTAAAGCAAAACAGGCCTTAAACCCTTCAGCCTTCTTGATGTCATCCATTATTAGCTCTCCTTTCCCACTAAGTAGTGGACTAACACTTGATTTCATCTTTCTTTTGCTCCTAATATATTTATAGAACCTCTTCTTATTGGCTTTTATGTTCCTTGCTAGATGTAACTCATTTTGGCTTAGCCTTTCTGATTTTATCCCCACATGCTTGTGCACCTCTTTTGTGCTCATCCTTAGCAATTTGTTCATGTTTCCACTTTTTATAGATTTTTTTTTAATTTTTCGATAATTAAAGAGCTCTTGATGCAGCCATATTGGCCTCTAACTATTTTTTCTCTCCTTCCTTTGCATCAGGATTGTTGGCTGTTGTGTCTTAAATATTATCTCTGAGAAATTGTGATTTCTCCTGAACTTCTTTTTTTCCCTTAGATTTTTTCCCATGTAACACTACCTACTAGTTCTCTGAGTTTGCAAAAGTCTCCTTTTTGAAGCCGTATTCTGCTGCTTCTTCCCTGATAGTCAGAATCAATCTAAAATGGCTGCCCTCCCTCAGTAATTCCTCCACCTTCTGAAACAAGAAGTTTTCCCCAACACATTCCAATAACTTATTGGACATTTTGTGTTTTGCTGAATTACTTTTCCAACAGATGCCGGGTTAGTTAAAGTCCCCAATTACTACCAGGTCTTATGTTTTGGATATTTCTGTTATTTATTCTAAAAATACCTCATTCACCTCCTCCTAGTGATTTTGTGCTCTGAAATAGGATCTCTACCATGAGGTCAGTCTGTTTTTTTCTCCTTTTATCTTCAACACACTCTCCCCACCTTAGTATGACTATAGACTTTCAACTGGTCTGTGTGATAGTGAAACAGGAAAATGGTCAAACCTCCAGCAGACTGTACAATCTGTGAGGTTTTCTGTCTGCAGTTTGCTAGTCTCCAATATAATCTGCTTGATACTTTATTTTGAATTAGGAATAGGTTGGCTGAAAGGTGATAATTTTATGTTCTGTGATTCATCTCCTAATGAGATGTAAATATGGTCAGAGAACTTAAATATATTATCTGTCTCCTTCTTCCCCCGCTCCTCCAGTCTGTGTGTGTCACTTGTTTTCTCAGGCCCTGATCCTGCAATCAGATCCATGTGGCTAGATCCCACCACCTGAGCAGAGTCTCCTTTCACTTGCATGAATTCTGATGCAGGATCAGGACACGTGTTCGTCTCAGAATCCTCAAATATCTCCTCCCCTCCTGCTGATTTTTGCAGAAACAAATTTCTGTTTCTTCCCTAGTTTTAGGACTAGACATCTACCTCCATAAATAGCCTCTTTGCCAAAACATAATCTTGCCATATTTTTATAAGGCAGATATATCATCTGAATATTTACCTATTTTAGAGTTTGAAACAATAATTCACTAAGTGCTTGATTGTAGAGAGCAAGACACCCACCCTACTGTATGTACACACACACACACCCCTGCATAGTCTTCACAAACCTTGGTACCAGCCATGCAGGAATGAGTGTGCACTATACAGCTGCTACTCTGTCTCCAAAGCAGGTGCACAGAAAGTGAACAGAGCATTAGCTACCCACCAGTGTGCCTGCCAGTGATGCTGAGCCAGCATGGAGAAAGTGGATAAAAATTCCAAATATTCCATTCTTTGGGAAGCAGAGGTTTTGTTCCTAGAGGAATTAGGCTATTGACACATATACAAGTCACCAGATCCAGGGAGTGGAATTGGAAAAAATCCAAAAAACTTATATTTTAAAAAGAGCTAGAAATCATCAGAGTCCTGCAGAGACTCAAGGAGCATATCTGCTCCGTAGCCCTCACATGTGTGCCACTCGTGTGAAAAATGTTGACAGATGTGATGGTTTTTGTCATAGAGCTGCTGTGCTGAGGAGAATTTGTATCGTGTGTAGAAACTGAAATGGAAAATGTTTGTTTCCCTTTCTACTTGGTGAAAGTAGAGGAAGATTCTCTACAATTTTGGTTTGTTGTTTTAGGTTCTTTAACATGGCAGAAGGTAAAAACCAATGGCATTGCACCTCAGACCCTCAGACACAGTTCAGCAGTAATAGGGGAAAATATCTATGTTTATGGTGGAGTTCATTATGGAAAAGCTGTTGATGACCTGTATATGTTCAGTACTGGTAAGTAAATCTACTCTGTTATAAAAAAATCATCACTCAGATTCTAAGAAAATATCTTTGAATCCCACTCTTGCAAAAACACAGAATATTTTTTGCACAGAACGATGCAGCTTCCAGGCCAATGAAAAACTCCTGCATTAAAAATCTAAACATTTTACCAGATTAAGGACAGTGGGTTCTATATATCATAAACTTGACCAGCTAAAGACAGTTTACAAATTAGTTTGAAGACTTACATTCATTCCTCATACTAAGATTTCCAAAATAGACTTCAACTTAGCCCTCATTTCTCTGGGCTCATGCAGGTACATAGATGTCTAATTGACAGCATTTGCACCCACAATTAATTGCAGGTACAATTTTTGTGAACGTAAATTTGTGCCTTCAAAAGTGGAAGCCAGCCTCAAAATCAGGCCCTTTAAGTCTTTTTTTTTTTTTTTGCATATGCCATGTGAATATAGAACAATTTCTTAATCATCAGTAACTTGCTTGTTGTCTTTCATATTATGAACATGAGGTGAGACCCAAGAGTGAGCATATAGGCTAACATTTTTCAACTTGGGCACTTAATTTTTTTTTAAATGTTGGCCATATTGCAAGTAAAATACATACTACTTTCCTATAGTGGACTACAAAACTACAAAATCTCTCTTACACCTCACATTCTATTCATGTGAATTACTGTGCTCTGAAAACTATGCGGACATATTGTGCAAGCAATTTTTAAGCAGAACTCATGACTGCAGTCCAGAAAAACCAATTATATGTTAAAACAATTGGGTTTTATGTATTACTGTTAGTTCAGCATACTAGTAATGACTTGTTTGCATTGCCATTACTATATCCTGTAATTTAAAATTCTATATTATGTTTCAGTATCTCTCAGCTGGACCCCAGTCAAAACCACTGGTTCAGCACCTGGGGCCAGGTTAGTGATTTTCTAAGACTACCTTCGTAGGGAATAAGGGATTAAATGATTAAGGGGACTGGATCAAAATGGAGTCACATACATAGAAGGTTTTGCCAATTAGCTCCAATTTCTACCCAAAAATAGCGAGAGTATACATCATATTTGGAATAATTTTGTGCTTCTTTCTGAGATTCACAAAGAAACGATGGCAACTTTTTAATATAGTCACACAAAAATAATTCATTAAAATTATGTTTAGGCTGTGATAAAGCAAGGTGATGCATAGGTAGGGAAGAAATGTACTGGATTCTTCTGTACTGACAAAATAGGCCATGTAAAGAAAGTCAAATATACGCTCCTTGGGCCATTAAGTTAGAGAACAGGGTGTGTTCACATCATAACAATGCTTTGGATCTGAAAAAAAAATCAGGCTCAAAATAGAAAGAACTTTGAAGAAGAAATTTTCCTGGATGTTCGACTAAAGAGAAAAAAAATTCATAAAAAAAAATCAGCAAATATTTCACTAAAAAAAACCCAAACAACAACACTGTATTTAGTTGACTTCTGAAGAATTGGTGTGCAAAATTTGGAAACTAAGCAAAGGTATTTTTAATCCCTGCTTTAAGTACAAATCTCAATGCCGCCTCAATGATAGAGCCATTACTAATGCCTCCATAACTCAGTGCTTATGTAATACCAATTTGATGACTTTAAAAGAATGCTTCACTTCACAGAATAAGAAATGTCACTTTCATTATTAATATTCTGTTATTTAATACTGTGTTTTTGCATGTGATTTGCATAAAACAGTGAAGAAACAAAATGACAAATTAACAGTTATTGTGTACAGTATTGAAGGGTCAGAATCTTCACTCATTTCTCAAGCCTTTTTCTTGCAGGTTTATTTTCAAAGAGAAGCTTTTGAACAATTAAAACAAAATAAAGATTAAATCCCATTAGGCATGACAAATATGTATTGCTTTGATTCGTGCTGCTAAACCTGCATGTACTTGAAGAAACACTGAAACAATATCACCTTCCATAACCTCATACACTGTGAAAGTGGCTGCATTATTTTTGCTAGATCTGGCAATCTCCAGAGTGAGTTTGAAAAGAAGAAATGTACACTCTTTTGTCACTGTTTTAGGGAAATTTCATATAGGTCTATTGAGCTTTAACTTCATTTTCCTTCATATCAGTAGAATCATTGACACATAAGAGAGCCATAGGCAAGTGTTTCATAAAGCAAAATAAAAAATATGGTTAGCTTTTATTTGGGAACATAAACTGCATGTAGTTGGGCTCTTTGGGCTTTTTTCAGTATGTGGACATATCAGGATGTCTACCTGCCTAGTACAGCTCCCTATCACAGATTCACTGCTTGCTGTTTCCCCAAGTGTCCTTCTGCACTCTCTCATGGGATTGTGCCCATTCTCTGTACAGAGGAACAAGACAGAAAGGCTCTTTGTGTTCTTTCCCTACCTCTTGTGTGCCCCTGCAGGATATGGGCTACAATCTGGACCTAAATATTAAAGATGTTTGTTTCTTTACAGCTTAACAATACAAAATAGTCTATTTTTAAAACAGTATTGGAAAAACCCTATATATATTACATATACATACACACGATAGATTTTGCCTACCTATTAAGATTTCCCAACACTTCTCTCAGCACAGAAACTAAGGAGTGAATGGATACAGAGACTGAACCACTGTCTCATCCCTAGAATGTCCATCTGAATCTCAGGTGAAGCACATTGGTGGAATAATATGGGGAGTTTGCATGAGCTCTACTCTGGCTTTTTTTTTTCCCCCTTCATAAATGGAAGACTTCAGTCTCCAATTCAGCCAATCCAGCACCTTCCATAAGCACTAACGTCACATTTAAAAACCAAAATGTAAAATCATAGCTAATTTGCAGCCAAGCTTCTTCTGTCCCCAGCTGTCAGGATATAGGTAGATTTAAAAGGCTATTTGGTAAACCTTGTGTATGATAGATATATTATAAAAAATATCTAGACTATTCTGAGTCATTCATTAATTGAGCTCCAAACTAACTCTTAAAATGTGAGGAAAATTTCTATTTAGGTCATCTTCTCCGTCTCCCTTTCAGTTCAGGATGTTTCAAACAGTCAATTTTTTGGAGTTTGTTCTGTCTAGTTTTAAAACAACTCAAAATCGTTCCCTTAGGAGACTAACCCATAGTCTAATAGACTTCACTACTAGGACATTTTTCCCCAATGATGGACCAGATTCTGCTCACAGTTATATGGTGAAATTTCAGTGGAAGTTAATGGGAGTTAAACCTAGATGCTGACAGTAAGTTTTGTCCCATTAGGTCTACATTTTCCTTTCATAGATTTCAATTAATTCCATTAACCCTAGGTATAGTTCCTTGGAGTCACTTATAGTTTAACAAAAAAATTGAAATTTAATGGCACTGTCTGCCAAGTTCCAATTTCTAAGATCAAAGAAGGAAGTTTCTGCTCTTTGTTCAGGGAGCAACAGTCATTCTTCTTTCCAGGCTTTTTCTTTTCTCTATTTCTCATTTTCCTCTGTTTATAGAAATCACGTGGCACCAGATTTTTATATAATTCTTGACATGGGAGTGTCTCTCTCAACACACACAAGATTGTGGCAAGTGTTGTCTTGAAAAACATTCAAATTCTAAAAGCATGATAAGTGGTGTTATATATTTAGGGTAAAGCCTTAGACTCCTTCCAATAAAAGTAGGGTTCACTGAGAGCTCATTGAGTGTAAGGACAAACAGCAAGAATGGTACAACAAAAAGCCCCAACTGGCTGTTCTCATGGTGTTCTGGGTGCAGTTCAGACTAGTGGAGGGTTGCCTCACTACTTGCCTTGCTGACAATGCTTTGTTGCTGAAGCTTCCAGACTGGGATGCTCAGAGCCAGCCCACAAGCATGTAGGCCACACCCTGAGTGTGTGTGCTACATAGCCAGCCCTGGTTCAGCAACTCTGATCCCAGCAGCCCATCTACAGCCCCACTCTGGTGTCTACCAGTCTCAGTTACAACCAGCAAGGGACCCTAACACACACCCAGTCCCAAATTATCCCAATGTTCAGCCCGCTCCTGGATAGTTCAGAGAAATAATAAGGTTCATTTGTTCCTTTACAGAGAAGGAAGTATATCACAGCTTATTAACCCAACTGAGGTAACTACACCTTCCCTGCAAACACAGGACTGAGTTGGGCTATGGTAAAACAAATTTATTAGCAGGACATAGGTTAAGTGATGCCAAGTAAAAGGAATAAAGTTAGAAAGAGTACAAGCAAGTCAGAGTGAAAACACATCTAAAAGTCTAAAACTTAATCTAGCAGGCTATAGGTTTTGTTGAAGATGGTCTCTCTCAACAGTCATTCCTCTCACCAGTCCTTCTTCTTCCCAGCCATGGTGACTTTTGTTCAGTCAGGACCTTCAACAGAAGTACAAGATGCAGGTTTCCCTCGTCTTCCTAAGTGAAAGATCTTTGTCTGAGCAGGTTTCTTACCTGTATTCAGTTTCCAGAGACTTCAGCCTCTCCGTGGTTGAAGGACCCATCTTTTTCAGCATGCAAGAGCTCTGTTCCCTTGAGTCTGTCTAGTGATGGATGCCCAAGATGGCTTCTATCCTTGCTTTTATCTTCAAAAGTTCAATGATCTTCAGGATGACCTCATGCTGATTTTCCCTTCCTGTGGGTTTCCCATCCCCCTGTATGTAAATGGGGCTTCCATTGCTTTGATTCCACTGTGCTTAATTTACATAGGAGATAGATAGGTAGCTGCTTTATGCATTCTAGCCTGGGCTCTGGCCTTTGTTCATAGGAGACTGGTAGATAGCTGCCTTCTCTCCTGTTTGACAGGGAATCTGTGTCTCCTGGTTTAGTCACAAGCTTTAAAGCATAATATCATTAAGTATCTATATTTCTTCATATAGTATTACTCAGCGGTGGCTCCAGGCACCAGCGCAGCAAGCGTGTGCCTGGGGCAGCAAGCCGCGGGGGGCGCCCTGCCGGTTGCTGCGAGGGCGGCAGTCAGGCAGCCTTTGACAGCATGCCTGCGGGAGGTCCGCCGGTCCTGTGGATTCGGCGGCAATTCGGCGGCAGGTATGCTGAAGCCGCGGGACCAGCAGACCTCCCGCAGGCATGCCACCGAATCCGCGGGACCGGGGACCTCCCACAGGCATGCTGCCGAAGGTAGCCTGCCTGCCGTGCGTGGGGCGGCAAAAAAGCTAGACCGCCCCTGGTATTACTACATACATGTCAGTGACATTAATCACCAGTGTGTCATTAACTTTCAGAAAAGACCTCACTCTATACACTTTTATAATACAGTAATGTAGTATATAAGTGATTCAATTGCTTATCATTTGAGCATCAATACCCTCGGCAATGATGCAATAAGATTTAGCCACTGGCTACTCCACAGGCATCAGTTCAAAGTTCCCTGAACCCAAAAACTGTGGCAGGATATATTTCTTCCCCCTTTGGGTAGGGCGTGGGATAGGGACCACAGTGTCCATTGCAAACCTATAAAATGCCTCTTGTATTACAGGCAAGGGGTGGAGATAAACTTTCTAGGGTCCTGCAGGTCTTTTTCTTTTTTGTGATAATTCACAAGACCTGCAATAATCTCCCACCTCATTCTGTGTCCCTGACCAGTAGAAATATTTCTTTAACCTCTCATAGGTTTTCTGGGCCCCTAAATGACCCACAAAAGGACAGTCCTGGTGCTGGGCAGGTACAACCAGCTGCTTATAAGGTTTTCCCAGGCTTTCCCTCCAGGGGAAATTCCCTGCATAGTCTCCCTACCTTTTCAAAAAACATTTCCCCATTTCACTTCAGTGGAGGATCCCTTCGGGACATATCCCTTTATGCACCCTAGAGTGGGGTCTGTCCTTCATTCATCTGCAAAACACTGGCAGCTGGGACAGATTCTTCAGTAACAGGGGTTACTTCTTCCCATCCTCCAGCTCTAAGAGCATACTACTTTCCTTTGTTATGCAAGAGCTGGCCTCAG